AAGACTTGTAAAAATTAATCGCCACTTTAGGCTCGAAACCCCCTTTAATTGTAGTTAACTTTTTGACTAGATTAATACTTGACGATACCGTGCTTTTGACATTTGAGACATGTTCCTTAATGGAACCGTTTGCACTTACGACTCTACCAAGCCACTTCAACCATCTAACCTGTAGGATATCCCTGCCGCTACACCTAAGATTGAGCTCATTGTTAGCAAAAGAGTTCAAGCACATAAATTTAGTTTTGTTTACATTAATCCGCAAATTTAGGCCCCTGAACATCTCCTCAAAGTCCCTCAAGCTACCTTCCAATCCATGGACAGCATCTTCCATATAATCCCCACTGTATAGGAGAGCAAAATCGTCAGCAAATTGGAAAATTCTTAAATTATCGTTTTCTAAGCAATGAAGTCCGGCAATGCACACGTTGAAGAGCAAAGGAGAAAGATAGCTCCCCAGAGGAAGACCATTTTGAACCTCAATTTTCTGTGTTCCAAGCAGCAAAGTCCTGTTAGCAAAGAAGTTGACCACCCAATTACACATCCTACCATCTATACCCACTCCAATCATAATCTCACCAAGCAAAGCAACGTCTACACAATTGTAAGCATCTGAAATATCCAGAATATATGCAACCACTTTCTTCTTAACCTTTTTAAGCTTGCTAGTCCAAAACAGAAACTCGTTTATGCACATCGAAGCCGATTTGCCTTTGCGATACGCAAAACTGTTACTTGGCAATTTGTCATTTTCCTCTATCCAGCTGCTGAGTTTCTCCTTAACCATCATGTTAAGGGACTTAACAATCACCGAGAGCAGGGAAATAGGGCGAAAGTTTCTGAAATTACTAAGATCCTTACCAAACTTCGGAATGGGCACAATCTTTATGACTCTCCAGCTGTCTTTAACCTCATTTAGATTGAAACATTTCTCTAAGTCCTTCACTAACATAGCTTTGGTTTCATCTGGAAGCTTCCTAATCATTTCGAAGGTTATACAGTCAGCTCCTCCAGCCGACTTCTTTTTTTTTTCAATACATTATTTAGGTCATCCACAGAGAATTTTATTACGTCCGCCACATCATACGCACAGTTAGGACTCCGAACCATCTGCCAGCCATTTTCATTAGTAGCCATCACTACTTGGTCCTTCAAGAACTTCAGGAAATTCTCATTATTGTCACTCATCCACCTATTGTCAGTTTTACTACCTTTTACTCTATTCACAAACCTCCACGCATCAGTGGAGTTTGGATTTGCATTTAGTTCACTTATCCTAGCTTTATAATTATTACTCTTGGCCTGCTTAACAGCTTTTTTCCACTCTTCCTCAAGCACACAAAGAGATTCAAAGTCGCAAACATTACACTGGTCTACAAATTTCAACTTTTTTTCTGCGAATAAGACGGGACCTGGTGTTTCTGAACGGATTTTTCGTGCTGAACACGAATCCGGGGTCAAAAATGTCCCATCACGTCACGTTTTCGAGAAAAAAGGGGTTGAAACCCCTAAAAACAGCGTTTTTGGCCATTTTCGAAAAATTATAGAGCTGAACCCTGACGTGGTACAAATTTTGCATATATCAGAAATTAAAGGCTAAACCGTGCCCTTTCGAATGAGCCCTATGCCGAATTGATCGCGTGCACCCTTAAAGCAGGGGGTGTATTTGTGTTTAGGGGTGCAGGAAAAATTGATCACAGAAAGAATTTAATCTTAAACGATCATAGAAAATTAATAATGCCAAGGTTTTAACTATATTAAAAGTCGCTGATTACGAATCTGCAGTTAGATTTTAAAAATTTAAGATGACGGGTCGAATATGGTGGATATAAAAATTGGACTCCTAGACACAAATACACCCCCTGATCTAAGGGTGCATGCGATTAATTCGGCATAGGGCTCATTCGAAAGGGCACGATTTAGCCTTTAATTTCTGACATATACAAAGTTTGTAGCACGTCAGGGTTCAGCTCTACAATTTTTCAAAAATGGCCAAAAACGCTGTTTTTAGGGGTTTCAACCCCTTTTTTCTCGAAAACGTGACGTGATGGGAAGTTTTGGACCCCAGATTCGTGTTCAGCACGAAAAATCCGTTCGGAAACACCAGGTCCCGTCTTATTCGCAAAACCCTTGTAGACCAGTGTTATTAGTCAGGTGAGCTTTTTTCCTGGCCGCAAGAACCCTCCTAAAGAGACTGTTTAAATCATTATTCCACCACGCTTTAGGTGCTCTTTTTACTTTATTTAAGTCAATCGAAGCATTTTTTATTTCTTTCCTAATAGCATGAGTGAGTTCCTCTACCCCACTATCAACAAAACATTTCGACAGCGCAGAGCTTAGTTTTTTCTTCTGCAAAAAAAAATTTGCTCTTTTTTTCAACATTATCTATTTCTATTATAATTGGCCTATGATGGCTGCCACCAACATATCCGAGATTGCATTTCCAAGACAAATTTTGAGTTATATTAGAAAAAGAAAGATCCAAAACCGATGCACCCCCTGGCGCATTTTTATTGAACACAAAGGTTGGACTACCATCATTTAGGCACACCAAGCCACATTTCCTTGTACAATTAAACAGAACTCTGCCTTTAGGCTCATCCTTATTACAACCCCAATCTTTCATCTTGGCATTAAAGTCACCCAAAAATAACACATTCTCTTTTCCCTCCAAAAAATTTAGAACCCTACTAATTTCATAGTCGAAAACATTTCTGTTGGTTCCAGGCGGAAAATAGGCGGAAACAATAACCAAGTTTTGCAAAAGATTTGTAGTCCTCACTATTACAATGTCTTGCATCGTATTGAATCTAACACGTTGCAATCTCACCTCTTTCTTTGCCCCGATGGCCACCCCACCATAACCATCATGCCTATATTTAGTTATTAGATTAAAATTAATTAGCTTGTGTCCCTCCTTAAAATCTCCAAGAGAAAACACCTCCTGAAGAACAACAATATCAATTTGGTTCACTTCAATAAAAAACTCAATATAATTACGGTTGGCTTTAAGACTTTGGCAATTAAGTTGTAATATTTTCACCATTAGATTCTGGGTTTATATATAATCTATCATCAACATTACTTTTAACTAAATTACCAATAACCTTAAGAATCGGCTCGTCTGCTTGAATCTGAAATTTTTGAGCTAGCTGATTTAGAAGCTTTTCTATCTCTGACAATCTATGCCATCTTTTGTCTTCAAACACAGGTACAATTTGTCTACTTTCTCTTACGACTCTATCCTTTCGACCTGGCTCCTTACCGTCAGCCATTCCTAGCTTAGTAACATAGTTGAATTTTCTTTTAGTCAGTACTCTGTTCGTAATTTGCATATGAGCCCTTTATTTTGAAAGTGGTATAAGTCATTTCCCAGTTCTTGTGCTTAAATGACCGGTTACTGGTATCTTAAAGCGTCGGTTATTCGTGTCAACTTCATCAACGAATGGTAGAAGGTTTTGCAATTAGTTTACGACGATAGTACGATTTACAGATGCATACAGTTACAAGTAGCCGGTCTTTCAAGCCGGAAAGTTTTCGTCATAATTCTCAAGCAGAGAGAATCTGTTGTTTCCCAAAACGTCCCCATATTTGTCGAAAACTTCGCGCTTTGACATTTTCTGCACTGTCTTAATCTCAATAACCTGCCTTTCCTTTTCCCACGAAGGGCAAATAGATTTCTGCGTAGCAACATGATTGTCATTACCACACAAAATGCAACTCGGTCTGTCACTTGTAGATTTAGGAGCACATCCTTCTTCCTTACCACAAATTATGCATCTATTTTTTGCTCTGCACGACCAAGCCGACCACAGTTGTAGCATTGCTTGGCCCTTGGAAAGAAATGTCCGACTTTAAAGAACACACAGAAAATTTTTACTGACTCAGGAACAATTTTCCCTTCAAAGCCAATCTTAATGGAAAAAGTGGGCACAAACTTCTCCCTGTTGTTGGGATCCCTTCTGGTAATTCTAGAAATAGATTTAACCCTGACATCTGACTCTAAATTTTGCAAAATTTCGTCTTCCAAGAAATCCAACGGTACCTGACGAATGACACCATAGGTCTCCGTGAAACTTCTTGGAATGAACACACGTATGCCTAACTCCATTTTTCATTCTCTACACTATTGTTAGCATCGGCAATCGAGTCAAAGAACACTTTATACAGTGAGCGCCCTATAGACAAGATGTTGTACATACCAGGGACATTTAATCTCCTAATTTTATCAAAAAGAAAAAGCCCGTTTCTAATTCTTTTATTATCAAAATGTACACTGCCGGACGTATCCATTAATACAATGGCATCCCCATTGTAGTCATTAGGATATAGCAAACTTTCATATCTATTTCCATTCCCCAAATTATTATTAGCCACTGCACCATTCGAGTTTTGAGGAACTGTGTTATCTTTTAAATTTTTGGAAATTACCCCCTGAGCTACATTTTGTGTACTGCAGTTTTCATTTGCAAAGTTGTTAACAATAGCACTGGGAACTTCATTTGGCACTAAAACATTTTCACTTATATTGTTCATTTAATTTACTCCCTCAGTATCATTTAGCAACCCAACATTAGCTTGCAATTCAAAAGTCGACTGAACTGGGACCAATAATCTGGAGATACCTGTAGCGCCGCCAGCACCACCATTTTCAGCATCATTTAACTGTAAGAACCCTGTTTAAGAAGCATTCCACTCATTGGTATTCCCTGCACATCCATATTATTTTCCGACACTTCTCTTGAGTCCGTAAAGTCCTCAAGTAACCTATTTGCATCACTTTTAGCTCCCTGCCACTTTTTTTTCTAGTTTTCTTAGAAAAGCCTTTCATAGACGGCGTTGGCATTAGCTCAACGCCACTTATGATGGCCGCACCCGACGCCGCCGAAGCAGCCTCCATTTTGCAATAAAAAAACTGACGCTCAAAAAGTTATTCAGCCGCTACCACTTACCAAAAACAGGAAAAAATTACTCCGCTACTGACGCACCAGCTACAGAAACGTCCACAAACACCTTATTAAATAGTTTATAAAAACTCACAGATATTAATCAAATTTTAATAACTTTATTTGAAAGTAAAAGGCTTTTAACACAGCTGTACCAAAATCAGAAAAATGCCACCACTCGTCTGCTGAAACGACTCCGCTGTTGCTTGTAGAAAACACGACCTCTCGCTACAGACGCTCAAAAAGGAATGAGTATAAATTCTAGTTCATTAACTAGTATGTGCTAAAGCGACGGCCTACCTTTTTGGTGATTTCGAACAACTTATGCGATCAGCGACATCTGTCTTTGAATAGCCACAACCAAAACTCAAATGCGGTTAATTGCTTTCATCATGAATGTCGGCTGTGACGTCGAGTGAAGACTACCGATTCTGGTTCTGAGATCTCAGGTACGAGTGCGCTTGGAGGTTGTTAAAGTAAACTAAGTAAATTAATTTAAATAATTATTTCAATTTAAGTATAAAATAAAAATTGTACATAAATTAAATTTCATTTGGAAAAAACCTAAATACTCAAATACCATAAAAAATTAAAATAATTCTTCTTTTTTTTTAAACAACAAAATTTAAAAATAACAAGAGATCTAAATAAATAAATAAAATAAACATTAAAAAAAAGATTCGCTCACTGAGATACGAACTCGGATCCCTTTATTTGGCGTACCGAAGCTTTACTCTGTCGACCATTGCCAGTTTCAGCGCCGCGAGCAAAATGGCATAGTTATGTATGCTTTTCACAGGGGATGAATAGGCAGTCTATCCCGTCAACTGGTATGATAATACTAGTATTTCTACTGGTAGCGTGCTGATGCAGGAGCGGGCAATTGACATCTCCTATGACACCGCCATGTTAAAAATACCAGTCGCTAACATTGAAAAAGGATACAACGTGAACTAGTTGGGCTGAAACGCAAACTGGTAGCGTTTTGGTTCACAACTGGTAGCTTTCCCTGCAGGGTAGTTATAATGTCAAAAATCTGCAAACAACCAAATTAACCCTTTGAGGTGCGAGTGCTATGTTTGCTACAAATTAACATCAATTGAAGCGCATCATGGTGAAATTATACCAGGTGTAGTAATAAGAGCAAGATGAAAGATTTGAGACTATATTTTTTGAATATTGTCCTTTAAAAATTTTTATAAGGTAGCCAAATGTAAAAAATAATGGAAAATAAAGCGAGAAAGCTGATTTATTACTTCACCTGTTTATAATTTCTCCATGGAAACGCATCAGCATAAATGCATACGTACACTAATTTTGAGAATTACTTCAATATTACCTTCAAAGAATTTTAACTTCATTCGTACCTTATACCGGGGACAGACATCTGGTACTTACATTCTGGTAAATTTATTGTGGTATTTAAAATACTACCATAGTGACAGACGTTAACTTATTATTTCAGTGTCAAATCACATGTTTTTGAAAAACAACACATAAACATAAAAATGCAAAAATTGCTTATATATTACATCAAAACTTGCTGTACAAACTTTTGGCTTCAATCGCGCGAAAATTTTAATGATTTTTTGATAAATGAGCTGCTGACGTCTGTCATTTTTAGGTATGTTCAGTGCGAAATGCCCACTCACGATGAGAATACCACAAAATTACAATCTTCGGAAAGTTGTATTCTTTCTACAAAAAATACTAGGTTGCTCACGTAGTTTTTTGAAGAATATTATATTTGGTGACAGACATATGGTACTTTGGAAATGCTACGAAGAAATACCAGATGCCTGTCCCCGGTATAATATGCGCTTACACATATGGACAGAAACGAATACCTCATAAAGGAAACCTGTTATTAAATGAAATAAATGTTTTATGAAACTGTTTTAATTTTTTTTTTTGTTTTTATTCGCCTAATGTTTTTGCGCGTTTAGTTTCTTATTAAAATATTTAATTCTAAAAAACATCCGGCACTTATACAAAAATTATTTATTGTATTTTTCTACATACGTATGTATGTATATCAGTGTCCTGACGTGGTTGTGTGAGCATAATTTTGTAAGAAAATGCTTATTTCTTGCAGACTTATTCAGATCCGAACTTTCGTGTGCTTCAGGCATTTCAGGCACAGGAACCTCCCAGGGCATGGGAACTCAACCTGGGCATAAACGCTTGCGTTTAAAAATATTTGCCTGCAATGCGCAAGTAATACATGATTTTCACAAACACGGGAAGAATCCTCCAATTGAACACCGCAGTTGTTCTCCCAACGAAGTCTTCTAACTTCGCAATTAGGCGCCTTAAAGCATCGCACCACTTTAACGTCTTGGCACTTGCCACACACAATGCAACGTTCGTAGTTCCTGCTCTTTTTCATTTTTGTATATGTATCTATAAATAGATGTGGTTGAAAAACAAAACAAAAAAAATCACACAATTCAAAACCCTCACAGCACGCAATTGAATTTTTAATGAAAAAATTATAGTTTAAAAAACTAAAACCTCGCTATTATAATTTGCATTCGTACTGTCATCAGGTATGAGAATAGAAAATAATAAAAGGGAGGTAAAAAAATAGAAAATGCCAACTTGAAAAGGGTTAACAGTTACGCAGTGTCTACACACACGCGCCACGGTAACTTTTACCGTAGATCTACGGTAAAAATTAACGTAGATCTGCGGTAAAATTACGTGGATTATGTGTTGCCGGAGAAGTGGGGCAGAACTTCTTTAGGTGTAGGTGAGCTTAGGGGTTATAACCTTTACTACTCAGAATTCTTTTTGTGTTGCCGGAGAAGTGGGACCGAACTTCTTTCTGCGTAGGCGGCCTTCGTCCGCGCTTAGGGATTATAACCCTTAAGTGGATCTACGGTAAAAGTTACCGTGGCGCGTGTAAGTAGACACTGCGTAACTGTTAACCCTTTTCAAGTTGGCATTTTCTATTTTTTTACCTCCCTTTTATTAGCTCGGGATGTAACTATGACAGTATAGTCGGTGTTCAAAAGAGAGAAATGTCAAAATCAGTTCTACCTTATTTAATATGCCTTGGCTTTATCCAGAAAAGTTGAGGAACGAAACTATAGGAATTAATTCGTCCAGAAATATACATTCTTTTTTTGCAAATTTCCGCTTAAGTACATGTGCAGGCGATATTTTTGTTTCTGACCAATTTGAAACGTGTGCAATTTTCAAGAGTTGGTTTATACTTGTGGGACTCCAACGACGATAATTACTAGACCCCCAAGGCGAGCACTGCAATGTGTTCCCTTTTTTATCCATATTTTAGCGCTTCTTCTGTCCTGCTGTGCACGAGTGTGTTTTATTAGAAAGTATTTGTGGGCGTACTTGTGCATGAAATTAAATGGTTTGACAATTTTTCGACACGTGGTATAACACGTACATGGCAGTGTTGATAATTTCGATACAATTGTACTTTTTTGATACAATTTCAAGTGATTTCTACTTTCCACAATTGCAGCTCTGCCAATTTTACATTAGCAACATTATAAAAACAATGGCCCGTAGTTATAGACAAGTTAGAGGCAGGTTTTAACATTTAAAACTGTATATTAAGATAAACACTCTTTTAACACTGTCATAGTCAACTTAAAAGAGCTTTTAACTTTAAAGCGGCGTTTTAAATTTAAAATGAGGTTGACGAGGTTTTAAAATCTTAAAAGCGTACTCTAAGTAGACGTTTTCCTGTCAAAATCTGCGGAGAAAATACAAAAGTGGTCTTAATTTGAAGAATATGCTTCCCAATCAAAGGATATTTCGAGATCTTGCGATTTTGGATGATACAATCTCAACCAGAAATAGGAAAACATACAAGCACCGCAAGCAGGTATTTTCAGCAGCAGTCCAATTAACTTCACGAATTCTTTTCACTTCCTATAAAAATTAAATTATTTACGTTAATAAATTATATTTTACAAAAATTTGTTATTTTCTTAGTTTGCTGCGCCATTTTCAAAATTATTTATAAAAGTCAGTTGATACAGGGTGAACTTGCTAAAAGAACAAATTTTTCCCAATGCCGATTGGTTACTTTTTTCATTTTATATTAATGGCCCTGTTTTGTGTCAATCTAGCAAAAACCTGCCTCTAACATGTCTATTAACTGACTAAAACTTAAAGCCTGCTCTAAACTTAAAGATTAATTTTAACTAGAAGAGGTTTTAACTTTCGACTATAACTACGGGCCATTGATGTCAGCAATCAAAGCGAATTTAATTCGCCTAGTCAGTACAGTTGGGAAGTGCACGAACTAGTTAATTCAACGCAGTAGGTCATTGAATTAATTGATCGAACTAGTTCGAAATTTTAAATTAACTATTTGCTCCCGGTTGCCGTTTTTTTTTTATTTTACTTACATATCGCACACCGTCTTCAAAAGAGTCACAACTCAACCATGTCCCCACCAAAAAGTTAACCATCCCGAATCGAACTTAACCACATCACTAACTATTGTTGTCCACACTCAAGAATGATAAAATACAAGATTGCGCCAATGAGAGGGGATTTTTGAGCGTAATTTTTGCGTGACATCATCTTGGTGCAATTGCGAGAGAGAAATGCCAAAACGCATAGAAAAATATGTAAACAATGCAGAAAATTGTGTTAATTTTAATATTACATGGCCCAATTCTGCAGGAATCAATAAATATACAAAGATTGATTAATTAGGAACACGTAGCAATAATTTTGGACATGTAGCCCTTTAGGTAAGTACGATTTTTAGCCCATGAAAAAATGTATGTGTTAAGAGTGTTTGCAATTTCATGTAGATCAAAAGGAAGGTGTGCAGCAAAGTGAATTTTTGGACTCGCCATTTTAAAAAGCAATGCAAAGTGCATATCTATATTTGTGGATGGTAGCCAACTACTATAAACTCCACAGCTGTTGACTCCACAGCTTTATATAACTTTATATAAATTAGTCTGTTCCTTTGAACTTCGGACTAAAACCTGTGGAACTGTCAAACTACAATTTTACGCTCTCAAATGAGAGTAAAAGGAGAACAGTCTAGTCAGTCTAGTCTGTTCCAATAGCAGTCCGGTTTACAGGATTTAGTCAGAACTTACAGGAAGTCGTTCCTATTGACATAAAACCTGTAAGTGGGAACACATTTGAGAGAGTAACTGAGCAACTGTTCCTAGTCAGAAGTTACAGGATTTAGTCCGGAGTTTTTTTTCCTGTAAGTTCATGAAAAGTGTCAAACGATCAGCTGATTTACATGTGCAAACAAAAACGGAAATCGGTGAAAGCAAAGAACCTTATATTTGTTAAAAAATGGAAGTAAACAACGAAATATTTGAATATGTATAGATTTTAATAATTATTTAGTGATATTTCAGCCAAATCAGTGTAGTACCAATGACATGTAAACAAGAGTAAAATTGTAGTTTGACAGTTCCACAGGTTTTAGTCCGAAGTTCAAAGGAACAGACTATTCATGAACTTACAGGAAAAAAAACTCCGGACTAAATCCTGTAACTTCTTACTAGGAACAGTTGCTCAGTTACTCTCTCAAATGTGTTCCCACTTACAGGTTTTATGTCAATAGGAACGACTTCTGTAAGTTCTGACTAAATCCTGTAAACCGGACTGCTATTGGAACAGACTAATAGCAAATGGTTACCCGCAGTGGCAACGGCAGTCTCACTCTGCTCAAGTAACTTGCTGACAATTCTTTTGTTTTCCCTGTGCTGAGCTCTTTCCGCACGCTGGGAACCCCCCAGATTTTTTTCGTAAATAGTAGGCACCGCACCACGTTTTAAACGACGAAGTTTTGCAAAACCCAAGGCGTTTACGAAAACGATATTAAATGCAATTAATATGAAAATACACAATATGTTACCCATTTCGAACTGTGTTTT